GAGACGTATACCGTATTTCGACTTCATACGCCGATATATTGCACAACCCAAATAGACGCAGAAAGAAAAGAACCAACCAAGTAAGAGAAAGACAGCTGATGCTCAAAAGAAAAGTAAGAGAAAGACAACAAAAAAAAGAGGTACAAACGTACAAGCAAGAAAAAAGGACAGTCCAGCACGAACAAAAAAGTAGCCCACTTAAGAAAACAAAAACAAAGAAAAAAAAAGGCAACCCAAACGAACCAGGAGAAAAATCAATCGGGGCCGGACGATCGAGTCAATTTACTAACCGGCATAATACTTGTCATGCACGTTAGTTTGGCGGTCGAATCTTTACTCTCCGTGAAGAGATCGACTGGGTGCAAGTACACCGCACGGAGAGGCAGGCTGGGACGTAAACTAAAATGTTTTCTGCTTCTGAAAGGACACATGTGGTTCGCTCAACCTGGCCCTTGCTCCCTCCGTCTTGTAATATAAGTGTCAAAAACGTTTTTATATTATGGAATGGAGGGAGTAATTACCGACCTTTGTTCGTCGATTCCCGATGGTCTGGGCGCTTCTAGCTTTTGGCGGGTCGGTGGTCTCGACTTTTTTATTTTTATGACGAAGGATGAACGGCGGTCTGGACTTGATACTACGTACCAGGCTCGATGTTTTGCACCAAAAGTTCATTGGAACAGCTGCAGCTAGCACAAAGAAGTCAATCTAGATGAGAGTTAAGAACCTGATCCTGACCGGCTCGGGTGTTTCTAAAGCCTAGAGTTAGATTAGATATGGCTGGTGAGCATCATGTCATGTGTCCCTTGATGCTTCTTCAAAGAGATCTTGAATGTGATGCCAAATGAACGCACCGCCGGTCAATGAAACCACGCAGTCTGGGGTGCCTAACCCCGAGTACTTAGGCTGGTCATAGTGGGGAGTAACTTAGACTAGTAACGTGCATATGTTACTAGTCTATGTTACTATCTCTATAGTGCATAGTATCATAGATTAGTATCATAGATGGTCTTATTTATTACTCCCTCCGTTCCTAAATATTTGTTTTTGTTGAGATTTCAACAAGTGACTACATACGAAGCAAAATGAGCGAATCTATACTCTAAAATATGTCTATGTACAAACGTATGTGATAGTCCATTTGAAACTCTAAAAAGACAAATATTTAGGAACGGAGGGAGTACCATGCATGACACATAGCAACATCACATTTATTATGTTACAGTATCTACCTATGTTAGTATAATCATCTTTTTTTTAATTGTCTGCCACGTAAGCATGTTTGTGAGTCCCAAATGCATGATACTCCGTCTAGGTGTGTAAGTCATCTTATGAAAACCAAATAATCCCAAAACATTTAGGCGCGGTGCATTAAATTCTACCTCGTTTCTTGTTTCGTGACATATCAACTAATAAGAGAAGTAAGGTGTGCATGCTTTTAATGACTTGAGACTATCAAACACAGCATGCAGTGGTTAGTTCATTGCATGCAATGCTATTAATTAGCAAATGAACATTAAGTTTTCTTGTTTTTTCCTCCTCCTTGGTCACGGTGCACAATCTAAAATAATTTACTCACCTAGACGGAGGGAATACTACTTATGTTATCCCCACTATGGCCAGCCTTAAGCTAACTAGCTACTCAATCATGGCGGTAATAGCGTTGATCCTGCCGGTCACACGGAAACTGATCCACGGTACTTGGACAATGCATTCGTACCCGACACATTTTCACCTTCTACTAGCCAGTGGAAATTAACGTAGCACTACGCCCCCATACATGGGCCCTAGGCCGCCACACCTTTGGCCATGCCCTAGGACCGGCCCTTGGACTAGCTAACTTAGCTAGCACAAAACAGTCATTCTAGCTAAGAGTAAAAAACCTGATCCTGACAGGCACGGGTGTTCCTAAAGCCTAGCGTTAGATTAGATATGGCTGTTGTGTGCATCATGTCATGTGTCCCTTGATGCTTCAAAGATATCGTCGACGGGATGCCACATGCATGCACCGGTCAATTGAGCCACGCATTCCGGTGCCGAAATCCCGACTAATTAAGCTTTACCAGGTAGCTACCGAATCATGGCGGAGCATCGATATCGCGCTTTCATCGGCCGTGTCGTGTCACACGGATGGAAACTGATCCATGGTACTGGACAAAGCATTCATACCGGACGCGTTTCACCTTTTGCTAGCGAGTGGAAATTGACGTTGCACTACGCCCAAACTTTTGACAAACGGCCCTCTCTGTGTAATTATCCTGTCTCCCCTCAGAAATTGCGCGTGGATGCATCATGCATGTGTACGTGCATAAACTGTAGTGTGGTGTAGGGACGTGAAGGACACGCTCCAATTTTCTGCTGCTACAGTATGAGAGAGTCGGCAGAGGAGTGGGCAAGCATGCACATGCACGGTGTCCATAGTCCATGCAGATCGATTCAGACACACTATTACATGTACTGTGACTGACTGGAGTGGGCGAAGCATGGACGAGTGACACTGGCTGGTTTGTCTCCCTTGACTTGGGGGCATGCGCTGCGCCCATGTGGGGAACGTCCGCACCGGAGGATGAGGAGCCCCTATCATCAAGTTTTTTTTTCACATGCATGACACGGCGATCCAAGAATTCAAATCACTAGCCCGTAACCATCGAATCAAGGATGGTGGCGGCGGGGCCTCGGTTGTGCTGCCTCTGCGTGGAGAACTCCGGATCTGGAGCGGCGGCTTTATTGGCAAGGCACGGCTGGATAGTAGCCGTGCGATCGGTAGATCTAGCGTCCCGGCCGAGCGGGCAGCGGGATCCGGTGGTCGTTGGCTGCCGCCGACGGCTTCTGCGGTGGCCGGTGCGCGCGATCTGGCGCCTCCCCTCCTTCCCTGTTCGGCGTGCGGCCCAGCTTGATCGGGCAGCATTTCCTTGGGTTCGCCGGTTCTGTACAGGTGGCGGCGCTGGTGGCGGGGAACTAGTTCGGGCGAAATCCCTGGTCAGCCATGGCCGGCCGCGTCGACGGCGACGCCTGAGGACGCCGTTCCCCTCCTTGAAGGCGTCGGTATGGATTGATCCCCTCACTTCCCCTTCCCCTAGGTCTCCCGGACGAAAGCCCTAACTTTGTTGGGCGGCGACGGCGCTCACGGCGTCGTCCCCTTCTTGAAGGCGCCGCTTTGGAAACCTTGGGGCTGGGTGGCGCTTGTGGGTGGTGGGCGACGGCGGTAGTGTGGCCCTATCCTAGCATGGATCTGTGTCGTTGCTTGCAGATGGACTCGCGTAGGTGGAGGTCGTCGTCTGGCGTCATGGTGGCGTCGATGGTGGAGGCACCTGCCAAGGTTGGCACCTCAATCTGCTCTGAAGATGGACCAGTGAAGGATGGCGGCGACGATACATGTGAGTGCGTCGGACCGGTTTGTGCCCCGGACCCGGTACGTGGCTCGGTCGGGGCCTTCGGCTTTAGATGTTAGGCTTAAGTGAGATGTCTGGGTATTTGGCCCAACTTGCACCCCTTCATAATATGGATTGGAGGAGCAGCAGATGTTGGCAAGATGGCGGATTCAGATATATTGTTATACTACTTTGTAACAGTGACGTAGCTGTAGGGTGGCCAGGATGGTCCATGGACCACCCTGAAATTTGGCCCATTAGTTTAGTACTCTGAAAAAAAGAAACATATCCAGGCCCAAGTCGGTCTCAGCCCATGTACATGCGAAGCGTTGGCTCGTTTCTTCCGTTTCCTGGTACGCGTGCCCTGATGGTTCCTAGTTCCCGACTCCTCGTCATCTACTCGTCTCCTCTGGTCTCCGGAAGTCTGAAAGACTAAAACCCTAGCGGCTAGCTCAATCGCCCAACGCAACTGCGCAAGGCAGGCACTCCGGCAGGGCACCCGCCGACGGCGACGGCCAAGCGGCCGGCGAAGGACGCCCGTCCCGGCGGCCGATGAGGCGAGGAAGGAACTGCTCACGCACGCATAGGTACAGGTGTACAGCCCCGTGCAGAGTAAGATTTTTGTTCTTCTCTAATTCAAAGAACAACTTCCTTTTACTCTGAAGATTTGAACGATTTCCTAGTCACATACATGGAACGAGATGCTTTCTCGCAAGTGACTGAAGATAAAATAATTGAGACTTTCATGGTCTTGAGAAGGCGGTATACCGACAAATAAGGTGTGTCATATTTTACGCAAATGTAAAACTTGAACATGAATTTTAATATGCTTTGCAAGACCTTATTGATATCATGATATGTGCTTTGGATATATTTTGTGTGCATATGTTGGTTCGTTAAATTTGTGGTGTAAATTTTATTTTGTGCCAATTGGACCACCCTGACATAAAATCCTGGCTACGCCACTGCTTTGTAAGTTCCTCGAGAATAACCAATAAAATGACCGCATGCATCTCCCAGATGCAGAGGACGGGGTCATCCTCCTTTTTTTTAAAAAAAAACCATCGAATCACACAAGGCGTGTGCATGCATGAATGTAGCAGCGATTCCAGGACCTGGACCGTGTCGTGAGCCCGGGCGCGCGCGTGCACAAAAAAAGTGACTAGCCAAAACACACCGATCGACGTAGAGACACGCACCACCTACGCCCCAAAACGGGCAGGCACATCAGCATGGGTTGCGATCGATCGATGGACGTAGCGCGGCACACCACGCAAGAGAGCGCCGCGGCAGCTGGCAGACAGCCCGCCCGCTGCTTGCAGCCCGGCACCATGAGCCCCGACACCATGTCCCCCGCCGCCGGGAGTTCACCCTCTCCGGATCGACCTCCACTATCACCGAGCGTCGACCGCGGCCATCTAATATCTCTCTCCAGTGTCTACACCCGCATGTGCGTATTGTCGGCCCCGGTGCCCCGCGCGTGCGTGCGTGCGTGCATATATACGCTGCGCATCGATGCTACTGTGTTGCCGGAGTACGCAGCTAGCTTAGCTACCTCGAAGTCTTCAACTGTGATCAGATCACGTACAGGGGAAACCGCTGTCCTGTCCGAGGAGAGGAGCCACCGGCGCCATGGAGCTGGAGCTGGAGCTGGGGCTTGCACCGCCGAACCACGCGGGCGCGTGCGGCAAGAGGGGGACGAAGGAGGCGTTCGGGATCATCGAGGCAACGCTGCCACTCTTCCTTCGCGACGATGACGACGGGGGTGACCACGGCAGCGGCGACGCTCGCCACTGGGAAATGGGCAACAAGTGAGTGTTTCATCGGTGGTGTTCCATGCCCTTTCTCTTTCGTGAAACTGACCGCAGGGTCGCGTGTAATTCGTGCAGGAGGAAGAGGCTGGTGGGGTGGCCGCCGGTGAAGATCGGGCACCGCCCGCGCAGCAACGGCGGCCACGTGAAGGTGAAGATGGAAGGGGTGCCCATCGGGAGGAAGGTGGACCTGTCCCGCCACGCCTCCTACCACCAGCTCCACCACACGCTCCGCCTCATGTTCCCCTCCTCCACCAATCACTATGGTGATCCAGATGTACGGGAGGAGCCGGACCGGCATGGCTGCCGCCGTGGTCGCGCCCCATACGCGGTCACCTGCGAGGACGGGGATGGAGACTGGATGTTAGTTGGAGACGCGCCGTGGGAGTAAGTCGTGGTTTCATTTTCCTGTCTATGCATCGAATCCTGTTGCACAACACAAAATCGTTGGCGTCGCGGCTAACAACATTATCAAACGGATCGATCTCTTGCAGGGACTTTGCCAGGTCGGCCAGACGGCTCAAGATACTACTCGTGTAACCAACTACAGTACTTGCCATTGCTAGTTGAGTTTTGTTGTCATGGATCTGTACTGGCCGGCGTGTGTGACTAATTAGTTTTAGCGCACTGAATAGTTTTTGTACATGTTGCGGTCACGTCGACAAGTATGGGACTTTCTGAGTTTCTCTCTCAGGTCCGATGTTTAATCGGCAACATAACAAGTTTGGTCTTCACCGAAGTGTCGGAGAATTATTTCAGAATTGGATCCATCGAAATTTACTTCATTTTAATGGGGTTTGACCGAATTTGATGTTTGTTTGAAATTAGCGAATATGACCCGAAATTTTGAGTTACAAATATTTTGGTACACGCGGAAATTACCAAACTTTTGGAGAAATCGTTGGTTTTCTAACTATGTTCCTGTCTTTAGAGTTACTAGCAAACATGCTCGTGCGTTGCAACGGAAGAGAAAAATTTACATGCTAGCCAAATAAGTTTGACTCAATACCCTGACATATGAGCGTTCTCTATTTTAACACAGTGACTCGCGATGTTGCGAACATGTTTTATAATTTGCGAACAGTTTTGTAAATTCTAATATTTATTGAAACTGCGAAAATTTTATGATTTCACACACATTTCTGAATTCACAAACATTTTATGATTTCTCAAACATGTTTTTCAAAATTTGCAATGTTTTGAAATTTGAAAATATCAAATTAATTTAAAAAAGGAGAAAACAAAAAAAAAAGAAATGAGAAAATAAAAGAAAAATACAAAAGATGAAATGAAAAAAAATAGGGGAGTCACGCCCTGCGTGCCGGCCCATGAACACGCACTGGGGGAGGGGAGGTGCATCACAAAAAGAGGGGAAATATTTGCAGAACTTGAGGATAAAGAATTACACTCTAGCCAAATAAGTATGACTCAATACCCTAACATATGCGATATCCACGTGATCGCAATGTAGTCGACATGGTAAATCCCAAGGCAATGAGCTTGCCGTTGCACGACATACTTTTAAACTTTTAAAACAAATCTCATCGACCACAAACTTGCAATTTTTTTGAGTTTTTCAATATTTTCTAAAATTTCATGGACATTTTTGTCATATTCATGAATTTGTTTTGAATACACGATTATTTTTCAAAATCATGAACATAGTTTTATTTCCTGTCATTTTTTTCGAAATTTTGATTTTTTTAAGAATTTGCAATCACTCTTCTAAAATCACTAATATTTTTAAAACTGCGAATTTTTTATGATGTCCCACACATTTTTGAAATCACAAATATTTTATGATTTCTCGAACATGATTTAAAAATTTTGCAATGTTTTGAAATTTGGAAATCTCAAATTAATTTAAAGAAGGAAAAACACAAAAAAAAGAAATGAGAAAAAAAAAGACAAAAGACGAGATGCAATAAAAAAAACATAGGCGTCACGCCCTCCGGGCCGGCCCATGAACGCACACTGGGTGGGGAGGGGAGGTGCGTGACAAAAATGGCTGGGAAAATTAGTAGAACCTGGGATTCGAACCCTGGTGTCCGCGGTGGGACAGAAAGGCTTGCGCCACTGCGCCATCTCAGAGCTTCTGCTATGCAAGCAGTATCACCATTATATAACAGTTGATAACGACGACGAATTTGGAAAAAAACGAATCGTTTTTTTATTTAACTTACGGGTGGCATTGGTGGGTAATTCTTACCAACTTCGAGGGTATTTTTTATGACGTACGACAGAAACCTAATTTGCTTTATTATTATTATTATTATTATTATTATTATTATTATATATATTATTATTATTATTATTATTATTATTATTATTATTATTATATATATTATTATATTATTATTATTATTATTATTATTACTAGCAAACAGGCCCGTGCGTTGCAACGGGAGGAAAAAAAAGTAACATGGAACAATAGCTTCACTAAGATCAACTAAAGACATTATTATTATGACATATAAACGTTCGTGTTTTGGTGTTGATGGTTTATTATGACATTATTATTATCCAGCGTTTTGATTTTCGGTTCGAGATTTTTTTCGCCCCAGGCCGAGATGGCCGAATTTTGGCCATTTTCAAATATTTTGGCTGAAATTTGACCAAATTTTGACTGAAATTTGACTCAAATTCGACCAAAATTTGCCAAATTTAACCAATTTCGGTCAAAAGATATATCTCGCCCGAGGCCGAGATAGCCGAAATTCGGCCGAAATCCGTTTTTCTCGGCCAAAATTAAAACACAACTGGGATCAACAATGTTTGAAGACAATTTATATTCGCTGGACGTGCAAGCTATATGTTTTTAGTTGTTCGTGTGTCTTAACCCCTGTATATATATTATCAGTTTGTCTATATATATTATAGGCTATATGAGTTCGTAAGGGAAATAAAGCGAACCAAATCCAACCAAAATAGAATAGTATCCGGCAACGTGTGCATAGACTCAGACAACAAAGTACTACACGTCCGCGTATTCGAGATGTTTACCGATCTGGTGAACGAATGAGCCCTGCATGATGAGTTTCTTGTATGTGACCTTTTGTCCCAGGCTTCTAGGCTTCGCCTTTTAGCCTTTTGAAATATATAAGGTAGAACATGATCTACCTTCCATTTCCCAAAAAAAAAATGAACCCTGCATGTGTGCCACACGTCCGTACTCGTGGACGCACTATGCAGCTTTTTTTCCTGGGCCGGCCTTATCTTCATCTCATGGACGCACTCGTGGCTTCAGTCTATCCTCGTTTCTTTTCCCCTCCTCCACGAGTTCATCTCCAACCTCTGTCAACATCCCCCTGCCTCCTCCAACCGTGCCGGGAGAGGCGCTCCTCTGCCCCGAGCCATCTTAAAAGTAAGCCATCCAGCTGCCGCCCCTCTCCTCCTATTTCTATTCTTCTCTCCCTCTAATCTCTCTCTCTCTCTCTCACGTTTTCTTCAGGGACCCCGCACCATCGCACCTCACCTTGGAGCTCGCCGCCTTGGGTCACCTCTCCGTCTTGATCTGTCCTCCACTGCCGGATCCGCCGCCTCAACCTCTCCGCCTCGATCCGTCCGCCGCCGCCGGATCCCGGAAGCAGCCGGATCCGCCGCCGCCTGCCTCACCTGCGTTCGTCCGCAGCGTGGGCCACGCAGCTGCCTCGGCCCCCCTGCCTCGTCCAACCGCGCCAGGAGAGGAGTCCTCTGCCCCGCCACCGGATCGACCCCGGAGCAGCCGGATTCGACGTCTACTGCCTCACATGCGTTCGTCTGCTGCGTGGGCGCAGCTGCTCGTGAACCGTCGTCCATCTCTCTGCCCTGCTGTGTAGGTCACCTGCGTCGCTGGTGTCGCAGGTCTTCGGGCGGCATTGATGCTTCGATTGGCAGCTGATGTCTCACTTTCTGATTCCTTATTCGCTCTTATCACCGGCTGGGTCTTTGCGTCTCTCTGCTCCCGAGTATTGCAGCCCTTCTCTCATTTAGCAGGTCATGATTTTGACTCCCCTCAACCGAGCTGATTTTCTGTGCGTGCGGACCGCGGGTTCAATATTAGAAAGTGCAGGGTCCTTTTTATGAGAACAAAGCGTTTTTTCAAAGTGTGACTTAAACAGGGACTGCGCGTTGATTTCAAAGAAACAGAGGGGCGTTTTCGCAAAAACACCGACGACGTACGGGCAGAAGCACTCCGTGCTTATTTAGTAGGGAAAGACTAGTAAAAATGCCCGTGCGTTGCAACGGGAGATTTTTTTGCATTTTCCTTAATTGTATCATTAATTATCTCTGAAAAGCAATACCTTTGAAACAGATGCAAATCTACTAAAACTGAAATTTTACATTACAAAATAAGATCCATGCTACTTTTATCACACTCAATGTGAGGAAGGAGTTTCCTGTTACACAGCTTCTTTTGCTGATAAAAAAGAAGCATAAGCATGGATAGACAAAATAATACCTTTTTCAACTAATTATAATTTAGCAACTTAAATCTGTTTGATTATTATTTTTTTCTCCATTCAGTTCTACAGGGAACCATGAAGCGAACCACAAGTATAAGCATATTCGACATCTCAAATCAATTTAGAAAAATTACTCTATCAGAACCGCTGAAGAACACGGTAGATGCACATCTCCTTCGGATATGCATCCTAAATCCTCTCTTTTTCTAAAATATCATAAATCCTAATAGGTTTTAGGAATATCAAAATTACGAAACCAGGGAATGGTATTTCGTGGATTCCTACACCATTTGAAGATGAATTCTTATAGCTAAAAAATCTGTGCGTTGCAACGGAAGAAACAAATCTTCGCACATCCTTTTTGCTACATCCACGTTGCAGCTTTTCCTCTTGGTCACCTCCGCCGATGGTGGTCAAGTTGTCCATCTAGTCACGGCAAATGCGATGAATCATAAGATGATGAACTTGGTAATAACACTCTAGCACACCGCTTTCACGCACCCATAACATCAGTGTAAAAGAAATTTTACCATCCACTGTAATGAGAAGCCTAGTGTTTTTCATGACAACTTTGACAATTGCTTGCTTATACTCAAATCTTAATCAGATGACCATATGTGACTATATAATTAAAAATACATCTTATTCTCACATAGAATGGCAAAGTACAAACTAAGCCCATGAAATAAATTCTAGATTATGCCAAAATAATTTAAGATCACATATGTTTCAGATTTAATACGAATATGCCGCACCTATGCTATCACAATATAAGAAGCAGAAATAAAAAAAAAAACCTTAGGGAACAGCTAGAACTATATTCATTTAGTACAAAAAATACTAAAGGAGACAAATTTATTACACCATATATCATAAAAAGGCAAGCACACTACCTTAAGTTAATTCAGAACCTCATCAAGTTGCAAAAATGCCAAACGGAGACCGAGCTCCATGGAGGCCTTTATTTGAAAACTTCAAAATTCAAAATTTTCAGTTTCAAAAAATTCTGAAATTAAATACAGATATATCTAGATACATAATGTACATGTGTGCAAATTTTCAGGTGGAAATACATTAAAATGTGAGCTACACAAA